ATTTGATCATGGGCTGCCTATTTAGCATAGTGCTAGTTAGCTGGCTGAGTACTCTACGAGCCGGTACGTACGCGGTTACCTGGTGACGAATCGGAATATTTGGAGCAGCAGATCAAGCTCACCACCCTGATGTAGTTAGGGCAGTCCTAACAACCGTCTACCGAAGAAAACGCTATTTTCTGTCCCAACTATTCATCGGTATTCGAGGCCATGACATGTCACATGAAATGAAGGCAGTTGCAGTCAGATTGGGTGTTGTGTAATGTAGGTGCTTTCCTGGCTGCGGCGCGCGTTATTCTGCTTGCGCGTTGTTGAAAATCCTACAGAACATAGCACGCAGCCGATCCCGGTGACATGCATGCTGTCATTTTCTAACCGAATGGCTTTGCCTGTCGTTTTGCGTCGGGTTTGTCTCGTATGTGATTCGCAGAGAACGCTGGGTCGATTTCACTGATGGTTCCTTGATTTGAAATGTTGCTCAGATGTGTAATTATACTGCCGTCCAAAGGTGCAGGCACCTTACTCTTGATCGTTCACCCCAAGGTCATAGAGATTCTTCCTATTAACTCCCCATCCATCCCTTTTGTTCCTTCGTTCTACTATGCTTCCCCTCACTGTTTTATGGCTCTTAGGTTCCCGTGTCGATGATGATGATGATAATGGTGAAAACCTCTCAGTCCAACAGCGTTCTTTGTCGTTTTCCAGATTTTGTTAGTCGGGGTTTAAGGCATCTTAGTGATCCATCGTGGTCCCTAATTGATGGTACGGCGTTCATGGCAGCACTAAGACCTGTCGATGTCGACGAAATTCATCCTTCACTTGGTCTACAGTCGGATAGCTCAGTGTTTGAAGCTCCGGCTTACGGGTCAGAGGGTCCATGGTTCGAATCCAACCTCAGCATCTCGACTGCCCCTGTCTAGGCTTGGACAACCTGACTCTTTCCGTTAGCCTGGCAGCTAGGCACCGAAATGTTGCTACAGCTGAACGATTTCGATTTCTACAGTCGGATGGCTTTGGCAGATGGCTAGGCGGAATACCGCACCGATACCGCTTTACTGCTTGGTAACTGAGAACGAAGCTTAATGTACTACTTATGAGATTGATTAAGAACCTCATAAACGAGAGATTCAGCTCTGTTCCACGTTAGTCTCCCGTCAAAACAAATTCGGTATGCTGATGAGTGTATAAGGAGAGCAAAGCTTCTCTTCCGTTCTTCCTCCACCCAATATTTGTATCCGGCGCGGCCGTGTGTTTCCTGTTGTCTGATCAGCTCGGTACTGTTGGGCTACTGAAACTCACTGAAGCTGGTTAACGAAATTAATCTGTTTTGGCATGCTTTGATCCCGTGGGAAAGCCAAATGGCTGCACGGTGGTGTGAAGCTGCTCATCTCTAAAGAAATAGCAATATTTATTTCATGTTCTCCGTTCCATGATCCAGATGAGTCCGTGAGTAGCCTGGGGTTTTTTATAACTTGTGTTGCTTGGTGTTAGCGGTTGTTAGGAACAGATAAATGGGTCGCCCCCTGTCTGTTTTCTGGGTATCGACTCCGATTCTACCACCCAAACGTGCTGCTTTCGGAATTACTCGTTCAAGTTTGGCGTTCATGTTACCCGCCAGGAGGACAATATCTGTCTTTCTCGCTGACAGGGAAAATCGTGACGGGAGTCGATATAAGTTATCTTTCTCGCACTCAGTATCACAATCTGACGAAATGTATGCTGATACGACAAATAAACGCTAATTACCGCACAGACCTACACTGATTGAACCAGACAACTGTGCAGCACAAAGAAGACTGCTTGCTGCGTTCCGATCCAGTAGTGTTTTCAACTCGGGCTGGGTGCAAGTCTCGCGTCATGGATACTACGCGCACGAGGATCACCAGATACCCCAAGACTGAAGCGTGTAATATCTGAACTTGCCCTATGCGGCTTAAGGTGCGTGAACGAAGTGGGCCCGTGTGTACGGGTTTCGGAATCATGGTGTATGTCGACTAAAATAGAAAACGAAGTTTCAGCAAGAGACGCCTGTTGTCCAGTTTGACAGTGCGAACATTGAAAATTATGATGTGGATCAGATCTTGAGTTTATTAGGGGATTATCTCGGGTTATTTCACCGGACGGCAGTTTGAACACGGAACAACATTAAAGGACTAGCAGACGGATGGACCCCAGCGGATCGATTGAAGAGCATGGGGGGTCTGCGTGTTAGAGCAGTGGTTTAAGGAATGTGAGGGCGAATGATACTTTCCAGTTGCCCAGACCGAGGAAGGGTTGTGTAGGATTTAAGGTCTTGTTCGGCACTCTGATCATAGTTTTTTTTATACTAAGTTTAGAGTTAGGTTTGTTTGGAAAACCCTGCCCAGAGCGGATGACTCTTATGGCGTGAAGCATGAGTGCCAAACGCTTATGTTATGCTATCGATGATGATGGCTGCGGGGGACTGTGTGTTGGAGGACGCAGGAAATGAGGCTGCTAATGCGCACAATAGCTGAATTTTGAGTCGCATCGGGCTCGTTGCAACTTTTAATTGTATTCTTACGGGATTGGATAATTATTCGGTGGTCATGGTGGCGATCAAATTGTGAGATTCCTTCGGGTGGCTAAGTGACTAGTTACCAAAAGTGTGTTACAACTGAGCGATTATTAAATATGCACTTTCTCCTATCCAGAAATTCGCGGATACTGTACACTTTGTTTACAGTGTTGGTGTGTGATTGTATGGACAACTCTAAAATTTTCCCCACTTGTAGTGGTACCCGACAAGAATACCGACTCTCTCCACTTATGTTCAGCTTGGTCACTGATGAGCTAATGTGGTAGACTTTCGAGGGTCTTCGAAATCCCTGTGTTCAGATTTTTGTGAGCGGAAACTGGACTATGTATTGACTATGCAGGCGTCAGACGCAAGCGTTGCCTGGAAAGTTGACCAACCCCATGCAGTGTTTCGTTATGTGCTTTGCATCCATAGAGCGCAAAGTCGTGCTGTGGGACGTACGGTGCTTGCTAATACCTCCTGTCATTTAAGGAAGGTTACAAAAGTCTATGTAACAATAATAGTCGTTCAGCTGTAAAACCCTTTCGGTGTTCAGCTGACATGCTACCTGAAGGAAGCATGAGAGCTGGGATACTGCCAGGTTGCCCACGCATAGACAGGAGAAGTCGAGGTGCAGAGGTCTGGTTCGAACCACGGTCAGTAAATTCGCGCTCTAACCACTAAGCCATCCAGCCCTCGTACAGAAGTTTGCAATAAACCATTAGTTTCTCGGAATTTGGGTTAGTTATGAAGGTTGCGTGACGCACATAGTCAATGCACGGACGTCGAAAGTCAGAATGGCGGTAAACACTTTCTGCCACTCATTACATCAAAAAGACATTTCACTGGGTTTCAAGGGATTTGTGTAACGTACAACAATGTGCAATGTAGTTCTGTACGACTGCGAGACTTGGCCACATCGAGAGGAAGACATGAGACACTTTCAGGCTTTTAGCCACGTATGTCTCAAAAGTATGGCTGGAATCGGCTTTAACCAGCGAATTCGCAAGAAGGTTATCAGGAACTGGGTGTTTGATGGGGCAGCAGGCACGTCTTTTGCCGAGGAAAGACGGCTTAGTAAAAATCCTGCAAAAGCCGCATACTGCAGTTGCTCAACGGGCGACCGCGATTGCCGTCGAGTTGGTCAATACGGTCGAAGTAATCTTGAGAGCAAAATAGTCGAGCTCTGCGCAGTCGCGACGTGTCCTGCACGTGACACATCCGTCCAAATGGTGTGATGTTCGGTAGTTAGGGACGGCTGGCCTCCGAACACTTATCCTACTGTCTTGTGGGTCAGATTTTGAGTCAGAGATATAAAGTGGGAAACCCCGAAAAAAACTTCCTTGAGGAAGTAGCATCTTCCGGCGTAGCTCAAGTGAAACGACTAGTCTGATCACCTGTGTCGACACAACCCTGCCAGGTGTCAGCTTGGTGGAGGAAATAAAATTTGTGTTCCGTTCGTCCTCTAGAATACCGAGTCCTCGCAACAACAACCTAACTTTCCGTTTACCACGGAAGTTGGAAAATCGGTTTTGAAAAGGTCTTCGTTACGCGTGAATCACGAATCAGAACCGTGGCCACAAAAAGGGTCACATATGTAGGGCACGACTGAGGCCGAAACTGCATCAGCCGAAGGAACAGAATGCTCAGTTGTACTGTCTGCTGGTGTCTGGACTTTCAGTCTTCGAATTTAGCTCCAATGCGCTCCTCGTGGCTGTTGTGATAATTCTCAAAACTATTGAAATTTGGTAGACATCGTTTGCCAGCTCCGTTGTCGGTCTAAGCTCTTGCGCTAGCATTTTCACCAAAACGGCGGCAAAGGGCACAGTCTGTGTGTTCACCGTTCACACAAATTGAAGCAATGTACAACACGTTGTATTTAAAATGTCTTTTAGAATTTGGGATGTCCTCTGCACTCAGCGCCGACAACCGACATGCAACGGATGGTGGGATACGAGTTGCTGTTAGTACCATAGTCGCGACCAATCAAAGCTTGTTTTGGTTCTTGACCCGCCAGTAGGTTTTTAGTCGTTGCAGAGCTTAGCTGTGTACGGTAGTGCAGTCCAGGTACGGGATTCTTCTTAACATTGTCGGACTACCCAATTCCTGGCATTTTTGTACCATGACTGTCTCATCAATATTCGGTTTCTTTCTCCACCATTCCCAAGCAGCATTCGTTTCTAAGCCTAGTCGCCTTTCTCGTAAGTATCGATGAACAGAAATTGTGGCATTTGCATCTGCTATACAATAATACGTTTTTTTTTTAAAATGGTTTAGTCGAGCTAGTAGTATTTTGGATTTATAGACCAAAGGTACGCCCGCTCATCCGAATGATGATTAACTCTATTGTAACCTTTTCTAGACAAAATCCCTATGTGACTACTCTATGGTGCGGGCAAGCTGTGTCGCCTTGTGCTCTATCCTTTGACCCACCTCGCTCTTGCTCTGCATCCACCCTTTTTAGCTACTACCGTGGGGCAGTCGGCGCCCTCCTTGTCTACGACATCTCCAAACATTCTACGTACGAGAATGTCACACAGTGGTTGCACGAATTGCGTGATCACTCTGATCAGGACATTGTTGTAATGCTCATCGGGAACAAGTGTGACCTACGACACCTTCGCATGGTACCAACAGACGAAGCCCGAGAATTCGCCATGCGGGAGAAGTTATTCTTCACAGAAACCTCGGCCTTGGATGCCACCAATGTGGACGAAGCTTTTGTGCAAGTCCTTAAAGGTGAGTTACGCAAATCGATTATTATTTTGTGATGCTCATACACACGTTTTTCGGTGGTATATTTACACAATTTTGCACTGCTTGCTGATCCCGATTTTTTCCGTGCGAGGATTTATTGCTTGCTTCATTTGTCTTGCTTCCAAGTCAGTTAATCGCAACACATCAGTGTTTTCGTTTAGCTTTGGTGCCTGTGGTCTTTCGCGGCTTGGCAGATTTTCACAGGTCGTTGCTCTGTTAGCAAGCAGTCAGTGGTCCAATCGCACCATGGTTTGCTTGTCTTTGGATGACATCCGACAGAAGTGACATGGTGAGCGGATGTCCATGGTGATTGTATGTGGGAACATTCTTATCCGTAGTACACGGAAGAAGCTTACTGTTCCCTATTTTCTGCTTTCAATTTATGGCATTGTCGCCCCAATAATTGTGGGACAAACAGGACAAACTGATTCAAAAATTTTGCAATCTTGGCAGGATGACGTAGCATTCACGTGCTTATTAGTAAAACAATAGGTGCGTAAGTTTAGCCCGGGTGCGGCTGTTAGGTTGAAAGGCGTCCGTGAGGAGCAGGAACTCGGACTTGAGAAATACGTCATCGGTTTTTTCATTCACATTCGCTATGTTTTCGCTTGTTTTCGGAGACCGCTTGTGGGGACGTTTCACTCCTGCTAAGTTCAGTGGACGTCTTGCTAATACACACACACACACAGAGTTCAAACATGACTTTTCTCCGTCCGGGGTATTTTACTTTAGCCAGTAAGCACGATAGGCTCGCAGCCGTTAACAGTTTGACACCAACTTTGTGCAGTCTGGTCTCGATTATTATTCTATAGTTGCTGATCCGCTTATACTCGCTTATCTTTTAGCCATTCATGAAGTCGTCAGCTCCCAACCATCTGCCAGTCACGCTCCAACAAACGTATTAAAGCCGGTCGCAGATCCGCTCCAGTCACCCACGACCACCACATCCAAAAAATGTTGCAATTAATCTCACACTGAGCACCCCGTTTTGGCGGGCTTTATCCGAACCACTAGTTCATACACTTACACATATGTAATACTACGCTATCATAGAATCTGATCCAGGTTCCGTGTGACTGTGCTCAATTGGTTCGCCTGCAGTCGCCTTTCGTTTCCCCTCCCTACTCTACGTCGGATTGATGTGAACGCAGTGAAGTCGTTGCCAATTGCATGCTTTGTCGTTTGTGGTTAACCACTGGCTCTGACTGTTGAACACCCGCGCACAGACACTAACTGGTTGACTTTTGAGTTTTAAGGCGTGGCCCTCATTCCAAAATGCGGCGGGCCTTTATTCTCTCTCTCACTCACTGCCAGTGAATTAGAACCGCGTGTCTTTCGTTAGCACATTTGTCCGCACTCCGCTATTCTGGCTATTCCGACGCACCTGTTTCCTGTACTGGTTATCGTCGTCCTAATCGTCGTCCTCACCTGCTTTCCACCCCGATCGTTCACAACATCTAAGCACCATTTGTGACTCTGGGTTCACTACCACTACTACTACTAATGCACTAATGCGGTTTTCATCTGGCGCGCTTTCTGTACTTGATGCGCCATCTCTCTCTCTCTCTATGTGTTTCCGCTCTGCACCGATCTGCTCGGTACAGAATACCACGAATCCACTAACCTACTCGCCCCTCAGACGCTACTTGTTCTCCTGTGATACAACAACAACAACAACAGAGGTTCGTAAAGCAAACACGGTTCCGTTCTCACTCACCTGCCTTATTGTATTCGGCTGATACTAGGCTCCTTTTCTCTTCCTATTTCCTTCGCTACATGCTACAATAACCTTCAAATAAAGAACAGCATCACTTTGAAAAAACGAAGCATATCGTGTCGTATTGAAGTGGCTCTTTTCTGGGAGGAGCTGAACAATAGAGTAGCTTATATCCTATGTGCTGTACACGGTGATACGGGTCGTACCAGACCGAGTCGTTACATTAAGGGTCTCTATGTGTAAGTAATCCTCGGATACTGGTCGCAGACGTTGTTGTGACTGATGGTGATGTACGTTAAGGAACATCCCGGGCCTTCCATCCTTATTGAGACTCAGCAAATCTGTCTAAAGAGATCGGATACGTAACCCTTCTGGTCAGTGGTTTCAGGCTGCTTACCAGACGTTGATGTATCTTCCACGATTGCGATAGATGTTACTTGTCAGGAGCTGGCGTAGGCAGTAAGTTTGTGAGTGTGTATGGTAACAGTGCCGCGTCTGCATATGTGCTCACTGCTGTTTCCGGTCTGAAGTCAATAAATTAACGTCATGTGGATTGATGCGTGCGTTTTCAAGCGGATAGGGCGAGATGGACCAAGTGGTTAGAGCGCGAATTTACTGACCGGAAAGTCCGTGGTTTGAACCCAACCTCTGCAATTCGACTTCCTCTGCCTAGACTTGGGCAACCTGGCAGTATCCCAGCCCTCGTGCCTCCTTCGTGTTGCATGGTAGCTAGGCACCGAAATGGTGCTACAGCTGAACGATTATTTTTTTATTTTTATTTTTTTTCGAACGGATGTTCACACAGAGCTCGTTATCGCGAACTCGGCTGGAAGTAGGGATGCTGATTGCCATACTGGAAGTGGATCGTATTATGCGTGGATTTTTGTCATATCCCTGCGCATCCCGTCTTTTGCAGGTCTCATCACATTTTGTTGCTGCCCTTGCTGATTTGTCTCACGCTGCACCTGTTGGCCGCTCCGCATTTCGAGGACTTTTTTGTACGAACCTCGCCTCGACTAGACCTCACAGTTGACTGGTAAACCATTTCAGCACTTCTCTTGATTTATTCTGTGAGAGATCCGGAAATTCTCATTAGCCACGATAGCTGAGTGCAGGAAGAGAATGTGGCAAGGTCTCCCTACTTTTGTTACCATCGGTTTTTGAGACTCCTATTTACTCTTAGGGATCGGTAGGAAGTCACCTGTACATCGTGTATTGAGTATGTTGAGCTGTGTGCTGCAAAATCTATGATTACTTGTAGGCGCAGGAAGCAACTGCCTATCCCTGCTTGGCGTCGTGTGTGTCATTACCACAGCCTATCTGATTATGCCTCAACACCCAGTCATATTTCAGCCTGTCCTCTTGTCGTCTACTCCGGTTTATTTGCTATACTACGATAGTCGAGATCCGTCACGGATCTTCCTGATCCACTGGAGTTTATCCGTGTGATACGAGCACTGTGTCATGCGAGGTTGGTCAGTGGGGTCTGACTGAGACATTCTGATGATCTCCAAGTTGGGAGTTGGAGTATGTGTGATTGCATGTTCCTTAAAGGGGGCGCTATTCTGTTAGCCTGCATTGGAACCAAAGACTCTGGTTTACGTTCATACTTGCCCTTCCGTCGGGGTTTTAGCGCTCTAGCAATATCTCCGTCTGCAGACTACCACGAACCGTACAGATAATAGTGATTTCGGTTCCATGATATATCGATCGTCGTCTGCTGCCATCAGTTGAGTCGCTTTAATTGCTGCATACAGCAGCTTTAGTAAGCGGAAACAGACCACTGCTGATATTTCCTTTCCTTCGATATGATCTCTTAACTCCCCGTCCCATCTAGCCGTGACTTTTCTGTAGATGCAAGACATGGGAATGTCGGTCTTTAATCCAAAGAAGCATGCCAGTTCTCATGTCTACCGCTTCTCATGCACTTATCCGGCATCGTTCTCCGGGCTTCATCACAGCCTTCAGCGTGCGAACTGTGCGTTGGCACGCACTTTTGGTACTCTATCAATAGGCATTTGCCGCTTTTTTGAAACCCCACCATGCTGTCCGTGTATGGAGGGCGAGATGGTTCAACTGGTAAGGGCGCGAATTTACTGACCGGAAAGTCCGTGGTTCGAACCCTATTTCTGCATTTCGACTTCCCCTGTCTAGGCTTGGGCAACCTGGCAATATCTCAACCCTCGTGCTTACTTCGAATGGCATGGCAGCTAGGTACCGAAAGGGTGTTACAGCTGAACGACGGTAATCTAGCCACCGCACCTTTGTCATCTAGACACCAACCCTTTCAAAATCCAGGTGATTCCTTCTCTGCAGCAACGGGTCACTGCGGTTACTCCCGAACTCAGGTTTACTTTGCGCTATTCGTTCATCTGTTCCCCGTCAGAAGGTGCTTGTTTACCGGGAACTAAGCGCTCTCTTATCTAGCTGGTTGTTCTGGTCGCCGGTGATCTCACTGCACAAGTAAGCCGCACCTTTGTCATCTAGACACCAACCCTTTCAAAATCCAGGTGATTCCTTCTCTGCAGCAACGGGTCACTGCGGTTACTCCCGAACTCAGGTTTACTTTGCGCTATTCGTTCATCTGTTCCCCGTCAGAAGGTGCTTGTTTACCGGGAACTAAGCGCTCTCTTATCTAGCTGGTTGTTCTGGTCGCCGGTGATCTCACTGCACAAGTAAGACATCTTTGCACTGAACATTGGTTGTCCCTAAGGGGTGTCAACACTGGCGTTGCTGTCTCTGATAATGATGAATTCCGGGTTCAGAGGCAGTTGACACCGTTGCGATACCTGGCCGTTCCCAACTGACGGATGACGATTGAACCAGATTCACTGCATTGTCGTTGACATAATTCACCCAGGTCTGTAAGACGACAGCTCCGCACAGATGGACCTGATGAAATCAAGTCGCTCTGAAAATGGAAGAACCTAGTGCAACCGGAAATTTTCGGAAACTTTTTCACCCAATGCTAATATGTCTCTGTTTCGAAGCCCCACAAATACGAAGGGCCGGATGGGCTAACATTAGTTAAGGACGGTAGTAAATTCTCGTGTTTTGTCTTGACAAGGGTATTTAAACTGACTTGAAACGAATAATACGTTCCAACGAACTAGAGCCAATCAGTCATGCCTTTTTTAAAAAAAGATGCCGGTCCATACGTGGCCAGTAAGTTTACTAGTACCAGACAAGATTCGGACCATATGCTGGGTGCATTAACTGCATCAGTTACTTGAGCAGCAGCGTCATGCATACCGCCGACAAACTG